AAGCCTATTTAGAAACTAGACGATATGGACTTTGGAAAGAATAGTTAATTTTTTTTCTGGAAAGCCATTCTGTCAAAAGACAGACCAATTGTTCCGTTTTTCCCCTTTATAGATTTTTAGGCCGTTCATCTGAGAAAGTCTCGATATTCAAACGCCCATACGTTCCTTCGAAATTGGTATAATAAGAAGCGGTAACCATCCTCAAAATCCAAAATAAGTGCTCTATAGTACATGCCAGGATTTCTTGGAACGTTTCGAAATAAAAGCTTTTTTCTCGCCAGAATATTCCATTAGAACTCTAGAAGTTGATATGTCAAACTTGCTGTGCTTTCCCCCACTTTGATTCTGAAACCATCACTGTTTCTACAGAAAATTTCTTTGCAAGTGCACACTGGAATATGAACAGATTCAACAAGAACCCCTGCTCTGGGACGCGCCATTCAATCCTCGGTGAGTAGTGGTCAGAGTGGAAGTGGAGGCCTGTACTGCTTTGCCACTTTGACAGGTTATGGTTCCATCAAATTTTGTGATTTATATTTGAGTATACGACCCCCACCCTTATAAGATCAACAAGGAGGGCAAATGCGACCCCCACGTTGATATTTGCGCAACAAGCCGATGAACTTCCCGTCACCACCGGTCTCTCTATTCGTTCTTACCCTTATCTATTGGGTTCTTGCAAAATATCGTAGCGCTCGCATTCGGCAAAAACGTTCAAAGCAAAAACCAAAAACAAAGCCAGGCATGAAACTAATCAGTGATGTTCTTCCCGTCATTATATACGACTTTGATCCTATTTCGCGAAAGATTACCGGGTCCAGAATTTAAAAAAGGGTATTGAGCCCGTTTTCAGAGTCCTCATCATTCTCAATATGTATGACGTAAATATGATTTGTGATTGAGAGTCGATCGGAGTAAGTTTCGATGATGACGATAGATCCCAAAAAACTCTCATTTTGGCAGCTTTTTTCTTTATATAGATTTTCGCCCACCCTGAGTTTCCAACTTCTAAGCACCATATCTGAGTAGATTTACAATATAGAAGAAAATAACAAAGAAGGATTTGTAGAGCGGAAGAAGTAATTTCAAAGATATATGTGATTTCCTTGATAGTACTTGTATTCACTGAGTTTGTAGCTCGAGAAAAAAAAGCTAGTTATTAGCACCAACCCAATACTTTGAGAGATATAGGGCAATTTCTGCCAAATGGTCCTGATTGTGAGCTAGGAAGCCACTTCTTCGCGGCATAGGCATGGGCACTTCTTCGTTCCTTCAAAGCTTTGAGCGATCTTCTTTCGAGCTCATGGTCCAATTCGTTTGTTCTCATTCATTGCTTTAGCTTACCTCTCGGCCAGGATCAACCCTACCGTTGGTACCATTCGGAATTTTTCACGACCTCTCCAATTTTTGCGGGTCTTCATCCGACCTCCTCTGTAAACGTGTGTGCATGGGAACATCAAGAAATGGAATGTGAGAAACTTGGGGGCGCCTGAATAGTTCCCGTTTTCCCCAGTGTTCCTCCCCCATTCGAATGAAATCTCAATGAAGATTTGCCTGCCTCTTCGAGGTTCATGAGTTCTTTCGAAGGTGCTAACTTAGTTGCGGGGGGGGCCACGCGGCGGCGCGGCAGTCTGCTCGCCTGGCATCGTTCGGAAATCGCGTGGGCCAGGGCAGTGTTGCCAGTCTAGGGGGTGTGGGGGTCTGAGGGCAGTTACTTGACATGCGGTGAAAAGCTGGAATGTTCGAGTTTACACTGTGCTCGTTCGAATGAGAGCCCAGGTGAGCAACACTGCCGCGCCGCCGCGTGCCCCCCCCCTAACTAAGTTTGCACCCTGTTCGAATTTCAAGGTCTGTGCGAGCGAGGTGAGTAAATTAGAGAAATTTCAATGTATTGTTTCTAAAAAGTCGCTGAATGTTCCCTGGAAGTTCATAGCGCGTTGGCATCTTTGTCGTGCACCATGGGAGTTTTCAAGCTTCGAACTCACTTCCTTCTGTTTTTGTATACCAGAGCTGCTGCCTAAGCCTATATAAGCATTTTCTCAAGTGCTTTAGATTTACTGTATTCCTTGCCCGCCCAGTAAAGCAGTCAGATCGACTTATCATATAACATATGATTGATCTAGGGATACTGGCGATTAGGATCTAGCGGACTCGACGACACTCAACCAGTCAGAGAAGCACAGGATCAACTACATAGCCTACAGCTGAAGGTGCCTGCGGTCTTAAAACTACGCCAGAAGCTCCTTCAAAGTACACGTTATGGACGCCAACACCTCTGCGCGATTCTCGACGTTCAAGCCATTGTTCAGCAGAAGACGTTGGACACTCCAATGGACAAAGTGGAAAGCATGTTCAAGACGATGGCAACTTAAACGGGAACTCGGCACCAACAATTGAATTTGTGGCTACTCACTCTTAACATGCCCGATTTCATATACGATCCTGGAAACGGGGCACTTTCGACGTATGGTACAACTGTAACAGCCGTAACAACTCAATATGGTGCAACGCTCGACGACGCAGCAGAGGTACGGCTCATCGTTCCAAAGCTCGACGCAACGGCATTCGTACGCTTCAGAAATCAAATTCTACCTAAGAATCGGTGGAAGTCTCTTGCAGACAGAGTGAAGAAACTACGAGAGCTTTCCGAAGGCGACATTTCTGTTTTTGCTCGTCGCTACACCTACCTGCGAACACAATACAGTTGTGAGTTTTCGTGACTATACCGGTCTAGTAAATCGACGGCATGAAATGGCCGAGTTCAACACGAAAAATTGAAATGTCTTGTTTGGATATGTGCTTTAGCCGCTTCCAATTACGTCGACATTCGCGCACACGCGTTACGCGAAATGAAAGACAATCCCCTCCTTACTCTTAAGGACCCAGCATAGGTATTCAACAAATTTTGAACATTCGCAAGATGCAAATTTTTTTAGCAGTCATTATCTCCTGCATTTCGCCGTGGACCGCAGTACATACCGATTTCGCTGGACCGCTTGATGGAACTTGTCGTCCTGTCGTCGTAGATGTATACTCAGAATGGCCAGAAATCCTGCAGATGAGTTGCAGAGTTCAATCTTAACATCTACTAATATCAAAGAAATGAGACTATTTCCTCACAATTTGGAAATCTGCATACACTGGTCACGGATAACGACACCCAATTTACTTTCGCAATATTCATTGGATTCTGCCATCATTGCGGGAACAAACACATTCGCTCCCGCTCTTCCACTCATAAAGAATGGGACACAAGACAACTCACCAGCAGAACGTTTTGTGGACACTTTCAAAATAGGGTCCGCTAAGCTGAGGAGGGAGAGACTATTAATTCCGTACCGGTGCAGCACGCTAATTTGCCTCTGTGTGGCCGCGTGCTGCGGTTTTTAAAGGGTATTTTCGACACGTGCTCCAATTATATAGGAGTGAAGATCTAAACCCGGGGAACAACATACAGACGTGGGACTATGCAATGCGAACGAATTCCTGAATTAATGGCATTTGTTGTGAAAAACTCTAGTCGCACACGCTCAATTTTCTCGCCAAATTGTAGGAAAAGTGAAAGAGCGGCTGTGTGAAAACATCGAGCATATTCGCACTTTTGGTTACCCTACTCGTTATACTATGCGATAATAATCGATTGTGAGGTCAAGATCACGATACGGTAGGACATGGGCGGAAAGGTCACTTTTCGCGCGGGTGGTCCATTGACCACCTTGATCGGGCGGGAGGCACCGTATAAATATCGCTGCATGGTTCCCAGAGGTAGTCTTGTATTCTTCTCTTCTGCTCCTACCAGTTAGCCGACTCTTGCCCCACCAGGCCCATCGTCATCTCCAAGACTTATCAAGATTCCATCCCTCTTCCTTATTATTCTCGTTACGTTCATTGTTTGTTGATTTAATAAACTTGTTCTTGTTCCGTCGTCGCTTCCCACCGTATACGACCCTGGAGCAAACCAGGATATTAACATTAGACGGATCTGCTCATTCAGAACGGTATTCCGAGCCGCTAAGGATGCGCACCGCAAATGACATAGGGGCCAAGCAACCCAGGGCGGACTCAGATGACGAGGAAATGGACGACATGGACGAAGAACAGGTTGGAATCTCTACCGATGTTAGAGAGCATAAAGAATCACCGCTCCTAGGTGAGGTGGCTGCCATTAGAAGAGTATGCGACGAGGCTCTGAGCTATCACTTGAGGAGGCTGTCAGAGCCCAAAAGAGCAGCCATTTTGAGCTCTGTAGAAGCAGCCGCGACAGCTGCAACGGAGCAATCCCTTGATGGAGTGAGGGACCTGAAAGAATTTTTCATCGAGAGCGGACTGTCCGTCCCTCAACTGCCATCAATCTTGACTGAGGCAGTGAGCAACCTAGGCTTGATTGAAAGCTTGTCCAGTGAGATGAAGTGTGGACAAGCACACTGATTTAGTGCGGTGTTAAAACTTAAGGAAGAAAGAGATCAATTGATTTCTAGACTAAATTCGTTGCAGGAGCAATTCGATAAAAGCAGGTCAATGGAAACGGAGGAGCAACCACGCGATAATAAGCAAGGTGAGACTTATTCATGGCGAAGGCTCGGTGAGCGGTTGTTAGCATCCATCAACCGTAAAGATGAGGAAATCTTACAGAGCAAGTGCGATCTGCGTCAAGAGTGGCCGCCGAGGTACGATGGGCCACAGAAGCACCGGAGGCGGGACTCGCAAGGAGAAAGGGACGATGGTGCGACAGGATCTTCACGATGCGAGGTGATGAGTGAGTCGTAGTTCTCTTTAAGTAGGAGAGTAGACCCGTCGGCCAATGTGAACCCTTCGTCCGAGATGTGGGAGGTTGTCAAAGCAATTTTGAAAGCCCAGGCGGCTGTGAATGTAGGAAATACACAGGGAAAAATTCTCTGAGTGACTTCCTGAGGACCTTTGACATCAAATACCCACGGAAATCGAGTAACCGGGAGCGGCGCGACATATTGGTGACACTATTGGATGGTCCGGCAAAGCTAATGTATAGCAATTTACCCAAAGGGGTACAGGAAGGATCGTTCGAGGATGTAGTGGAGGCGCTGGAAAAGTCCAGGCGGGACCCATGCAGGAAGCTCAAGAAGGTAGACGAGTGGGATAAGCTCCGTAAAAGGGACAACGAAACCGTAGAGGAATTTTGCTATAAAATGGAAAGGATTTCAAGGGAGATCCACAGCGACAGTGACCGAGATTTTCTTTTGGGCTCCAAACTACAGACTTGCCTTTCCGAGTGGGAAGAATCCTACCACCTGCTGGCTGCCCTTGAAGCACCATATGGGTTGGTATACCAGTCAGTGCGTAAGGCGGCATTGCGGCTGGACCGAGCACGCGAAGCGATGAGAAAAAGATCGCAGTTACAAGGGGCCCAAGGGAAGGACCGGAGCGATCGCACCAGGTATAAAGCTCATGATAAATATGATAGCGAGGAGATTGAAACGAGAGATAAAACAATTGGTAAAAATGGTCCAGCAAAGAAGATGAAGTGCTTTAGATGCGGTGGCATGGGCCATTACGCAAGGAGTTGCCCGAGAGCTAATGTTCAGGAGCAGACCCCGCACGTACACGATAAACAAAGGCGGAAACCAAACGAAGGGAAACCGTCGGAGTCGTTTTTCACCCATTTAGAAAAGTGGTGTAGCGCAGTGACTAGTCAGGATAAAAAGACGGTAGTAACTGAGGCGTATGGGAAACCCCTTCTCTGCAAGGTATACATGCTAGGCATGGTGATCGATGCTATGATTGGTACGGGATCAGTGGTATCAATCGTCCCTCTTGGCCTACTGTTGGAGGCGAAGGAGAAAAAGATCGATCTGGACAACCTGGTAACCATCATGGGGGATGGTAACTCTCAGAGAGTGGTGGACGCCTCAGGGAATGTCATGAGCTTTTTGATGCTAACTGCTACGGAAGTGAATGTGCAGGGAGGAGGGCAAGCCCGTGTACAGTTACATATCCAAAGAAGCAAGGATAAAGTAGTACTGCTAGGGACAAATGCACTCCAAGCCCTGAATATCCATATACAATTGAGTGAGCCCATAGTAGAAACAAGAACCCAGGACGAGAACGGTGATGCGTGGCATGTGCGAGCAATTCATAGGCATGTCATTCCGCGGGAGGGATTTCTACGTACCTGTCTCAGCGCAGGAGTGACGAGTGCATATTTGGGTCGAATAATGATCGCATTTCTTCCGGTGTACTGAAAGCGACATGCTGCGGGGGGCGAGGCTCTGGTATCAGTTAGGAACAATGCTCACGAGCCTTGGGTCATTCGCAAGGTGAAACCCTAGGGAAATGGACAAAGAAGCATGGTACGATCTAGACACGGGAACTGCCGGAGACATGCTGGAACTGTCCCACAAACTTCCAGAAATAGGGAGAAATAGAGTCGAAGACCTGATAATCTTACTCAATAACAACGGAAGGCAGGTCAGCTACCTGAAGAAATGGTGACGCTTGTATCTGAATATGAGGATGTGTTCGCATCTCAGATTTAGATCACACAGACCAATTTGTTACATCACAGCTAGTTTGCCCATAAGCAACGCACCCACCTGTGCCCTATGCTCTTCGTAGCCAGGTGTGACATGTTGGTCGACCTCAAGAAACGGGGCATCATTGAGGATAGCTCCTCCCCGTGGGCCTCACCATAGTCCTGGTGGCCAAAAAGGATGGATCGATTCGATTGTGCGTGGACTATAGGGAAGATAAACAAAGTTATCAATAAAGATGTTTTCCCTTGCCGCCAGTAGATATGACCCTTTAGAATCTTCGTAGAAAGCGGTACTTTACCTCACTGGATTTAGCGAGTGGGGTACTGGCAAATACCCTTAACTGAGGAGGCTAGGGAAATCAGCGCATTTATCCACTACGGCAGGACTTTTTCAGCTCAGGGTACTCCCATTTGGCTTTCCACGGCGCCAGCGGTATTCCAGAGATTAATGGAGAAGGTCTTAGGACCGCTTATGGAGCAGAAGTCTCCGTATACATTGACGATATGCTTGTAGCAACAGAGACAATGGAGCGTCATGTCGAGGTTTTGACAGGTTTTCCAAGCACTACGCAAGGCGCATCTGAAACTCAAGCCACAAAAATGCCGTACTTCGGAAAGTTCCGTAGAATTCCTGGGGCATGTAGTGGATAAGGATGGCCTTCGAACCGATCCCGGCAAGGTAGAGAAAATCCGAGACTATCCGCAGCCTACAAATCTAGCACAATTGAGGACTTTTCTAGGTATGACAGGCTATTACCGCAAATTTATCTTCCGATATGCGCAAATAGCACAGCCTCTGTATGACCTCACAAGTACGAAAACCCATTTCTGTGGACAGGAGCACATCAGCAAGCGTTTGCTACCTTGAAGGACCTCCTGACGAGAGCGCCTGTGTTGGGACAACTGACATAGAGGCTGCACGCAAACGCTCACGACATTTCTACATATATACTGATGCTAGTCGCAGCGAACTTGGCGCGGCTCTGGCTCAGGAGGGGAGACGACAAATTAACCATCCCCTACTTTTGTCTAGAGGGTTATCATTGGAGCCGAAAAGAATTACCACATCACAGATCAGGAAGCGCTTGGCGTGATGTTTGCGGTGAAAAAATTTCACTATTTTATTTACGGAGTGCATACCATCGTAGAACAGATCATAGCGCCTGACTTCGCTATTCAAGCGTGCTAACGTCTCTCAAGGGTACTGAGATGGGCCCAGAGCTTCAACGATACGATCTGCAAATCGAGTACGTAAAAGGCGCGGCGAATAATGTGGCAGACGTCTTCCGAGAGGGGACGGTATCAGAACAAGACGTAGGAATGGCTAAATATGCGACGAAAAGGTAGTTGCACTCGTAAAGACTCTGACTGGTCCCATTCAATAGAAGCGCGCAAGGAAGATGACATCCCATTTATGCATCATTGGTAAAAAGTTGACTTCGGGTACGTTTTATTCGGGAGATCGGCTCCAGGGTGGACGTCATACCTCAGAGCAAAAGACGCGAACTTTTCACAGAAGCGCATCATGGAACTATGGGTGGGCATTCCAATTTTAGGAAAATGATCTCATCTTGAAAAAGTAGCGTATTGGCCAGGGATGAGACAGGACATTGCGAAATGGTCCAAAGAATGCCAAAAGTGCATTTGTGCATAACACATAAAGTAAATACTCCTCCGCTGAAGCCGGTTGTAGTTCCCAGGCGTTCGAAATAGTTGGTATTGACTTGCTCGAAGATGGGCTTATCGAGTCGGGGAACAGATATATAGTCACGATCATAGACCACTTCACAAGTTTCTCGGGGCCTACCAGTGCCAAACAAAGAGCTGAAACAGTGGCAGAAGTTCTTTTCAGCCAGTGGATTTGCGCGCGCAGGAAGATGGCCGGAAACAGTACTCTCAGATCGTGGAACGATTTTGAGAATGCTGTCGTTACTGCTTTATGTGAAATAATGGGCACATATGTGAAGAAACGATTGTGTCCCAAACTAAGCCACGAATAAAATGCCTACTGATGACAAAGGGCGAGGAAAACTCCCCCCACCACCCTGCGAATCGGTGCCGACACTTCTGAATCGCCCGCATACCTATTTGGGGCGATGTGTGCAAGTTCTACCGAGACCACACGAAATTTTTATTGCTCACATAAGTTTGACCCCATATTACAGAATACGGGCGAAGGCAGAGAGTCGAAGTAACAGTTCTCACACTCCATGGAAACGCGGAAGATGTGGTGGAGTCACATGTACAACAAAGAAGCCGCACAATGGACTCATGGAAGGACAAATCGCGCAGACAGGCAGGGTCATCGCAGCGTCAGAAAGCGGTGACTTACCGACAGTCGTGGTGCAAAGGTAACTGTCGGCGTAACCGCCAGCAAAAATTTTGCGGACAGTGGCTTCGCTCGTCGAGGAGAAACTACTGCAGAGGCTGAGTGGAGCAGCCTATACGGCGGGGAGAGCATGTGAGGTCAGAGATCACGATACGGTAGCGCCATGGGCGAAAAGGTCACTTTTCGCGCGGGTGGTCCATTGACCACCTTGATCGGCGAGAGGCACCGTATAATATCCCTGCATGGTTCCAGGTAGTCTTGTATTCTTCTCTTCTGCTCCTACCAGTTAGCCGACTCTTGCCCCACCAGGCCCATCGTCATCTCCAAGACTTATCAAGATTCCATCCCTCTTCCTTATTATTTCTCGTTACGGTTCATTGTTTGTTGATTTAATAAACTTGTTCTTGTTCCGTCGTCGCTTCCCACCGTATACGACCCTGGAGCAAACAGGATATTAACATTAGACGGATCTGCTCATTCAGAACGGTATTCCGAGCCGCTAAGGATGCGCACCGCAAATGACACGATTCCACTGAACAAAAATAAACGTGGAATATTGCAAATGAATGAGATATATTACTGTGCTTCTATAATAGATGTTTATAATATAAATGAAGTTTTATATGGATCGCGCAGCACGCGACGGGGGTCTAAATAGGCGCCGGCTGCACGCGCTGGCCAGCGAAAAAAACGCCGCGGTACCGCAATGCGTTAACTGAAGCTCTACTGGACTTCCTCGTGGCTTATCGTGCTAGGAGGAAATTTGGTAGAGGCTTCGGTTGATGCCTATACGGACCATGGTCAACCGTCCGTTTGTACTATTCGAACGGGGGTCGCATTCTGGTCATGGGCAAAGGGGGGGTCGCGATTAAGAAGACCGCAACCGAAATCACGACGGTAGTTATCTGGTGGATGAGGGGGATGGAGAAAAGCTCACAAGAACATGAAGTTGACCAGAATAATTACTCTTTCAGGCTCGACTGTTTCGTCCTGGGTGTTTCTCCGTGTGAATTACTGAACTCGTAAAAAAAACTTTCTTCAGCAGAGCTTTTAGGGAGAGCTTGCTTCTTTGCATCAGAGCATGGTAGACTGCCAACAACTGAGCAAGTCTGTAACATAGCGAGATAAAATAGACTTCAAGTGCTTTTGCAGCTTTGAAACATGCGTGGGCGCGGCGTCCGAAAAATCAGGAAAAATTATCCGAAATTTCCTTGTTTGTGCCGACCGATTGGGTTCGATTTGCTCTGCACAGAGGTAGTTTTGGACAAATTCTGATTTATTCGGACTAAATAAAGAACAACGAATGCAGTATAGAAAAATTCACTTCTAGAGGCTGAAAGCAAAGCCGATATCGGCTAACCGGCCTCAACACGTTAGACGTGTGAGTGCTGAAAGCTATGGTACGTATACGCATGAAAAGCTGAGTTGGAATGAAATGGTGCCCCGGTAGCCTAAAATGGTAGCGCACTTGCCCCGGAAAGCGAGAGGTGCGGGTTCTAGTCCCGCCTAAGGCGAAAGTTTGTCACAACCCAGCATTCTTGTGAAACATTCGCAACGCGAACTGCGGCGTTAAAACAGCAGTTGACAAACAAAACAAGTCAAAATCCATTGCTGAAAATAAAAGTTTTCAGGAACCTAATTCTTTAAGGACGATTGCTCCAGAGAATTCTAGAGCATATTAATGTTATGTTATATTAACGAAGTCTCGTTATTGTTAAAAATGCCTTCGCCCCTCCCCAACAAGCTTTTTGGAGGAAGTTGTTATTGCTGAAAGCCCAAAAACTCAAAAAAAAACCTGCTTAAAAACCTATGGGGAGAAATGTGCAAACGTGCGATTTTCTCGGAAAATAAACTTTGAGGAACGGTTTGGTACTTCTTAGAAAGAGCAATCCTGTACTTTCTTGGCATACAAAAAGTTTGCCAAAGAATTAAAAAATAAGTGAGTTATGGTCACTGAAAGCACAAAAACTCGCCTTCTCAGGGATAATGTGTGAACGGGACAATTTTTGAAAAAGGGGTCAATCATGAAACTTTACTATTTTGATAGAGAAATATTCGGAGTTTCTAAAGCGTTTCACGTTTCCTTTCAAAAAGTCGCATACGAGAAATATTATGGGCCTTCAAAGTTGAAGGTGCGCCTTCTTAGAAAGTTGGGTTTTCCACCTTTAACAAAAGTACTTTCCGGCGTTTCTGCAAGCGGACCTCATGCACAGTCCAAATCTACCTTAGCAACTCAAAAAAGCATGTAACAAGAGAGTAATTATCCTCTGAAACATTTTCTTCTCCGCGTCCCGTTCTCTCACAGCCAAAGTGATACCTGCCGCGCTCCAAGGCTGACGTCCCGGAGTGTAAAAAATATGATGAATGTGAAACATCGTTAACGTTGAGCCGTGTGTGGCGGTGTTTTGATTTTGCTCTTGCGTTATTACCTTTTCTCTACTCTTTCCCCTTATATCTTCACTTATCACTTATTCACTCTTCGCCAACTCTATTTTTCTCCTGTATACGCTTCTCGAACCTCTTCATCGCGAACCTTCTCCTCTTTATTGTGATTAACCTTAGGAGGGCCTTCTTTTGTTTGCCTACTTTACCGGGACGATCCAGGGCACTTCGATTTCATCGATTTGTCTGCACCGACATGGATAGAGGAAACAAGAGGAAGTCCGTCGAGGAGGATACCTGCCAAGAGATGCTCCTCTAGGCCATCAAAATGATCGAAAAAGTATAAAACATGCTGTGATAGAATCGAAAAGGCTTTGACAGCATCCTTGGATAGCATTGCCTTCAAATCGCCAAAATCGATCAGGCGCAAGAGGCGATTCTTTCCCGTTTGACCGCTCTTGAGGCATGCATCGACTCAATGAAAGCATCTTGTCCCATGGCCCAAAGCGCGTTATAGTCGACTATTGTGAAAGTCCGCGCTGACGAGTAAAAAATTGAGGATAAGCTACGGAGGATCGCGTAGGTCGGTCGAGAGGACAGCTCAGAGGGGTCAATGCCAGAGGGAAAATTATCAAGATCGACCTCATGACCAAGGCTCTCAAAGATCGTTTGATAGCTAACATGAGGTCAGTGCGGCAAAGTCTGACGAGGGACTTTGTCCACTCGTACGCTCGTCGTGATTATACGGAGGAGCTATCACTAGATCGCAATCTAAGAAAACAAGCAGGACAACTAAACAAAAAGGCTGGAAAACTTACGTTCATCGTTCGTGATTTGGAGATCCACAAGCTGAGAAGCCTAAGATAGCATCCGGCTTGTTACAAACAGATTGTTTTTCATTTGATATCCATCTGCCTTCAAAACATCACCGGTATAAATACCTTCATGCTGAGTATGGTTCAGTTTATCCACTCTGCTGCTGTGTTTATCCCAATAAACGACTTTGGACTCAGTGTTCGACGCAGCCGGAAGCAGAAGTCAAAACAAGTGGCGACCACGGCAGGATTCTCTGTGAGTTTTCGAAAAGAAGATTACAGCACACCATAGTCGATGCCGCCTACACTCAGAAGACAAGCTAAGCGCCATCGCCAGTCCAGTGGACCCGTGCGGTCCAACACAACGCTTTCTCAAACGACAACGCTCCCGTATGTTCCAGCAGTCAACTCGTCGCTGCTCAATTTCGTCGATGCTTCTATTCTCAGTAAATTGGAACTTCCCACGTTCGATGGAAACATCCTTGAGTACCCAGAATTTTCGTCTCGGTTTGCCACGTGAGTCGGCAATAAGGTTCAACTCAATGACACGACAAAATCTTGTCTGCGAGGTCGTGCTCTTCACGCGATACAAGGACTCTCCATGACTCCTAACAACTACAAGATCGCTATGGACATCCTCGCCACCCACTTCGACGACAAAGTGACTATGAAACATATCCTCTACACGAAGGGGTGTTCGACAACTACCGAATTGTGACCAGGAAGGCTCGCAATCTTCAACCTCTGATACAACCAAATGTTGGCTCTAGTTAGGCGTTTGCCTTGAAGACGGAAAGACTCAACGAAACCCGGTTTGGAGCAATTGCTTAAACAAACTTTTCCTGCCAGAGTCGGTAGTCAGATTATATGACAAGACAAACATAGGCCACAACCTCTCCCCGCAGCCGAACATGCTTACACCTTGCTCACCGATATAGTCCGTAAAGAGAGCCGCACTATCAGAGATTGGATTATCACGGCATGCCATGAACGTTATCAATGTTCAAAGTCGCCAACGAGCTCAAGTTGGAGTTCCGGTCGAAGCCTCAGCACTTTTCATATTCAACACTAGCAGAGAAAAAGAATGTTCTTTTTCGTCGGAAATTCCGATTCACACCTCTCTCGTTCTTGCGACTCGCTTCCGACCGACCGCTGTGATCGAACTCGTCGAGTAGATAACAACTACGTCTAGGTTACAACTGTCTTCTCCAGTCAACATGTTTCTAAGGACTGCCACGCATCCAAACAATCTGTAGATTGGCTGCGCAAGCGTCATCCACTCATCGCGTGTGCCCTAAAAATGCTCTAATGTGATGCGTAAACCAGGAAGAGGACACTCCGCAACCTGCCACTCCTTCGCCCCTACCCTCTCGTCCGAACTCACGGAGCAGTTCGTAGGTTCACGAAAAGAAACGACAAACACCCTCATCACAAGAGGACAATTATCATCGCAATAGTTAGCAGGTTCCTTCCCATCAGAATCGAAACATACGTTCACTCAAGCCACACTGATGGGCCAACCTCAGTAGCCCTTCTTTATCCTGCAAACTCTTCAAAGGACAACAAGCGTTGAACTGCATTTTTCGACTCAGGCTTCAACCAGTCGTACATCCACAGGACGAACTAGCGAACGAATCCTCGACCTCCAGAAAATATGTATCCGAAGAGATCTCTGGTCAAACATTTGGTCACTACGACTCCTGCTCGGGAAATCTCGAAATCAGGTTCGTTGGCATCAAGACAGAGAAAGGAGGAGAATCACCTTCAAGTGAAATCTTTGGCCACCTTTAAAACAGGTCATTTGAGGACAGTTTCACACCCGATTCTAATTGGCGAAGAACGGAACGTTTATTACGATATACGTCATGCAAGCCATCTAATATTGATGGGGTAAATGATTACTTTTGGGAAATCGACCTATCAGATGATTGGGCTACTACGAAACACTTGCCGAACGCGTATCGTATGCTTCACACCTAGTATCGGCACCACATTCTGATAGGCAAGTCTTTTGAATCTCGAAAAGTATTGCATACTGACTTGCACTTCCTTGTCATGCAGAGAAGCGTATTCTCACAATCCTCAGTAGTCCACGACGAACTTTTTCTGAACTTGTTCAAATTTTTTTTGAAACTTAGAGCAGTAGGAATAAGGCGATCCTACTCGAAAGGATGACGACTGTTTGACAGTTCCAGTTCTCAATGAACGTAATCGAATACAATCACAAAGAAGAATCGATATGCTGGTGCAAAACTACCTTTTCAAATAGCGATTGCATAAACAGTTACCCGACGAATTTCAAATTAGCCTTCGTGCGGAAGACTTTCAGCTTGCTCAAAGTCATTGAGAGTACCATCTTACATGGAAAATGACGACACGTCATCAAGATCAACTTCAAAGGGAAATTATAGAGGAAGATTGCCCAATTACGGAGTTGCGAAGCCTTCCATACTGTGTTCCCACCATGGACTTAACTGAACTCGCGATAACGACCGAATACCATCAAAAGTGAGATGGTTTGGGCGACGGGCTCTGCTAAGGACGAATGGGAAATCCAGCATCAACGAGATACTCACGAGGACCAGTGCTCTTTACCTGACCTCACCTGGAATACTCGAATTAGTTGCACGGCTTCCTGAATTATCAGTGACATTGAAAAGGCATTTTCTGATGCTTGGGCACTTCACCCTGAACTTGAGGGACTCGTTACAACACGTTTTCTTGTGGTCAACGATAAACAGAAACCATTAATTACCACCTAATAGGGAGTACCGAACGATTTGCCCGTGTACCATTTGGGCCCTCTATGCTCTTCCTTCCTGCTGTCCGGTACATCCATCACATCTGACAAAAATAGTCAACTTCCCTTTCACAACACTTCTCCGAAACACTTCATGTAGAATAAGGGTGTTCCACGGCCGAAGACTCGAGTCAACAACGTTGCCGAGCGGAAGGTCCGTCTTCGCCGACTACCAAAAATTATGTTTCCGCCAAGCAGGCGATGAACTTTGAGAGAAATACGCCAGCAATTCTGCAGAAACTAAACAAGCTTTTTGAAAGAAGGAAGAAGGATAGAAGTATGGCGCAAACACAAAAAACTCTCGGCCTCCAGATGGAACACTACTTACCGGATTTGAGCTGTTTTATCGAGCCTCCACGAAAACCACCAGAGCCAAACAAAATTGACGAAACGGAAGGCTGCCTGAAAGAAGTAGCCAGGCATCTATGACCGCTGGGTTATACTCTCACCAGGGCACTCTCATTGGAAAACTCTTCTCCAGTCACTGTGGAAATATGAACAGAGATGGGACGACTACTCCTGATGATGAGCCTTCCCCAATGGACAACACATAATTAACACTTGTCGATCACACATGACCTCACCGACCTCATCGTTTGAAACAGGGCCAACCACGAATCAGATGGATCTTCAGTATTTACAGATGCATCCGCAAAACGGCGTATGCGCAGCTGGCATAACCTAGTTCAACGCCGTCAAAGTTCGCGCTCACAAAGTTTCGATCTTGATGGCAAAGGTCGAGGTGGCTTCACTCACAGATCTATACACCTACACGCTAGAGTTCGTCGGCTGGTCACTATCGGTTACTAAACTGGATGCTTACGTTTTCTCATTACGCAGCTAGACCTGGCAGTTGCGACCGAAAGTTTCTGTGGACCGACAGCACTGTTAGGCCTTAGGTGGACAAAACACTGACTAAAACAGTGGCCGCAGTGTCGTTCGTAACACGAGTAAAAAACGATTCGATCACTTACTCAGACGTCATTATGACGTATACGCCCGACGGAAGACAATCAGCCGACATGCTCTCGTGGATCCATATTCACAGAATTACAAGCGAATGACAAAATGGTGGAGTAGGTCCAGATTTTCTGAAGCTGGAAGAAGCGGCATGGCCTTCGTTCCACAAAACAGTACAAACTTACCGAGCTGTTTCACGCGGAGCTACAGAGGATATGCCTCAAACAACGAGTAATGAGAGTGCCAGAACATGGCTGTCATCCTGCAGTCTCAACTTCAACACCCAGTGAAAACCTGCATATTGGACACCTCCCGCCTTCAGCACCATGGACATTCCCTGTCCTAAAAACGGTTGATTCTTTGATCCTACGCTTCTTCAACCACAATGTCTCCCGAAAGCTGCTTCACTCTTTCCGGTCATCATTCATGAAGTTACTCCGTGCAAGAGCCGAACAGCTACTATCGATTGGCCCATCCCAAAATCCCCCCAGTCCCGAATTGAATCCAGCAACTCACTTGCTTCCGTTGTCCGGAGACGTACCTTTGGAAATCTCAAGGACGCATCAGACAATAGTGATCTCAATCAAAGGGATACGCTATTCACTCCTGGTGTATCGGAGCCGAGGTTACAAGACCCAGATTACCACTCGTTTTTCAGACTGAACCGATACCGCACACCGAAGGGCAACCCACTGCGTCTCAATCACACGCTAACTCAGCTACGGCAGCGCGTATTGGATCCCGAAAGGGAAGGTAAAGCAAGCCGTCAAAAGCAGTTCTAAGAAACGAATGTTCTATCTGCCAAACGTTTGTATACCGCAAACCTTTCAGATTCCCGCCTCTCCTTCTCTTACGGGTACGACACCGCAATATCCCTGTCCAAAGTGAAGGCATGGACTTCTTTGGACGAATGCTTTACCGCAACTCCGACGGAATTCCTCAAAATATTGGGTTCTCCTTGTTTACGTGTCTCAATACACGTGCGATATATGTGGACGCGGTTCTCGATATGGACCAGTGTACCAGTTCTTCATGGCCTTGCGGCGCTTCATAGCAAACTATTGGATGCCCCAGCTTTATATTGCTGCGACAAACGCCTGTCCTTCAAAGCCATGTGCTAAATGTGATTCTCACTCCCTTGCCCCGAGTTGACGATGGATATCTTTAGACTACGCACCAAAAAGGGCAACTACAGATCAAGTTCATTCCAGCCTAAGTCCTGTGGCAAGACGTGCCTACGAGAAAAAATGGTGATATTTTCAAGAATCATTCATGCACATTCATTCGAAAAT